GGGGGGGGGGGCTCATTAGACAGTCACCGTGCGACATGGCCACGGCCCAGAACGTTCTAAATGTCCTCCGAGGGCGCAGAGGCGGGGAGGGCATCGGGCCGGGGGGCGGCTTGCGGCCAGCAGGGGGACAGGTCCCAGGCCCTACGGGGAGCAAGGCGAGAACCCCGGGGGAGGCCTGGGGGACCGCACAGCCCGAGCGCAGGCGCCTCGCAGAGCCGCGCCCTGCTTGCAGCCCGAGGGCCGCCCTGACTTCCGTCGCCGGTGTCCCAGTGGCACCGAGTACCTTTGGCCGGGAGGAGTAGGCCAGGCCAGCTTAGGCAGGAGCTCTTCCCACGGGTGGGAGACTGAGCGAGGTCTCTGGGGAGGGGACGTCACAAAGCGCCCCGCTGCTCCCAGCCGCGGGACGCCCAGGTTACGGGTGCGAGGCTGAAGCACCACCCCCTTCTGTTGTGCTTAGGAAGATGGAGCCTGGTCTAAGAGGGCAGACTCGCTGTCGTTAAAGGGAGGGAACCCAGGCATTTCCAGCAGTCAGTGTGAGGACTGAGGGGACCACCGATCTCAGAACAGTGGGGGTCAGAGTCCTAGCCGCACCATCAGCCCCAAGGACACCTCTGTGCCCGTGAGAAGTGCAGCCAGGCCACAAATGCCAGACGGAGGCCTCCCTGACTTCCTCCTCTGGACGCTCAGGGGCTGGAGGAGGGCTTTGCTCCGCGGCTGCAGGTCTTAGATCAACAGAGAGGAGGAGTCCCAGGCCCTACCAAAAGTAAAAGTGAGGGCACTGAGGACGAGCCCCTTAAGCACACCAGGATAGATAGGCCCCGCAGAGCTCTGCCGGTGCTTTCTTCCCTGGGTACCCCTGGGCAGGTGTAGTAAGGTGGGGTTCCCTCTGGTCCTCCTGCAGGGCCTCAGTGTGATGATGGCTTTGAAATGAGTGGTCAGCACCAGAACAGTAGAGCACAGGGACCTTCAGTCCTGTCAAAAGTGAAAGGAAGGCCCTTAATGTGAACTGAAATATCCCCTAACTCAGAACAGCGCCACTGCTCCAAGCTCTAGTGAGCCCCAAGCAGATGTGGTAGGTACAAGCCAAGGCACAACTGAGCTATTTCCACAGGATCCTCAGGGCAGAGGCAAATCAGGGAATAGCAGCCTGTGGGTTCCTGGAGCAGTGCTCTCAAGGAAACCTGCAGAGGCGGCCATCAATAAAGCCAAGGTTTTATCTCCCTGTTGAAGTGGCCCCCAAAATCTCATCCTCTCTCCTTTAGGTCACTGAGTCACCTGCCCACTAGCCTGCTGCCTTTACTGAAAGTCATCATGCCTCAAGGTCAGCTCTGCGCCCCTGAAAATAGCCACCAGGCCCAAGAAGAGCCCGAGAATCTAGAAGGTGCTCAGGCCACACCAAGATTGAATGAAGGCGCCAACCACCAGGTGGAGGAAAGGCCAAGATCCTCCCGGGTGCTGTCCACCACTGAGATCCTCAGAGATCCTCTAAATGAGAAGGTGCATCTCTTGGTGTATTATTTGCTTTACAAGTATCAAATCAAAGAGCCCATCATTACCAAGGGAGAGATATTGAGAAATGTCATCCAAATGGATAGGAATAACTTCCTTGAGATCTTCAAGAGTGCCTCTCAGCACCTGGAGCTGGTCTTCGGCCTTGAAATGAAGGAAGCGGATCCCTACCAGCACATCTATGTCGTTGTCAACAAGCTGAACCTGAGCCTTGATGTCATGCTGAATAATGACAGAGGGGTCCCCAAGACGGGGCTGCTGCTGGTTGTTCTCAGCGTGATCTTCATGAATGGCAATTGCGCCACTGAAGAGCTGGTCTGGGAAATGTTGAATGTGATGGGGCTGTATCCGGGGAGGAAGCATTTCATTTTTGGGGAGCCTAAGAAGCTAATCACCAGGAATTTGGTGCAAGAAAATTACCTGGAGTACCGCCAAGTGCCCGCCAGCGATCCTCCAAGCTACGAGTTCCTGTGGGGTTCAAGAGCCCACACCGAAACTACGAAGATGAAAGTGCTGGAATTTTTGGCCAAAATCTGTGATACGGTCCCCACTACCTTCCCATCCCTTTATGAGGAGGCTTTGAGAGATGAGGAAGAGAGAGCCCGCGCTGCAGCCAGGGCTCGTAGTGCTGCCATGGCCAGGGCACGTAACGCTGCCATGGCCGGGGCACGCTCCAGGGCCACAGGCATGGGCCCCTCCCACCCCTAGGAGAGTTCCAGGCAGATTCTTCACTTTGTTGTTAAAAGAAGAAGTCCACCTTCTGAGGAGTAGGATGTGGGGGTGGTGCTGGAGCCAGCACAATATATAACATATTTGTTTCTGTTCTGTGTAGTAACATAACTTTAAAAAATATTTTTCCTTATAGTTGAAGGTTTAAGTAGCTTCAGAATCCAAATTTCTGTAGGATATGTTCCAACATTTATTGCTGTGAATGGGATTTAAGAGTAAGAGATTTTAAAAATTTGTTCTGTAACACAAATTACAAAAGTTTCATCTTATTTAGTGATTTGCAAATTACAAAAGTTTCATCTTATTTAGTGATCTGGAGCAAGAATGTGGCAGTAGATGAGGCCTTTCATTGGAAATGTGAAACAACACAGCAATGTAACAGGTGGGGTCAAAAAATGGAGAAATAAATAAAAGTTCTTTGTTTCATTTATGACTTTCAGTCTGTTGTTTTGTTTGTATATAAATATATGGATATATTTAGCTTATTCAAGAATATAAGAGAAATTAGACTGTAGTAAGTTAGACCGCTTTCTCAGTGGCCCATTTTTTTCTTCAACAATAATTGAGCACCTACTCTTTGCAAACTCCGTGTTAGTACTGAGAATGCTAAGATGTACAAGAACCATCCCTGCCCATAGAATTTTAAAGTCTTGGAGTAGCTATGATGTGAAGAATATTTAAGACACTCCCTACGACCAAAAAGATAAGTCAAAAATGGTGTGAGGACTTGGGGCTTGTAGGTGTGAACAGTCAAGCGCAAATGCCTGAACAAGGGGGGGTTGAGGCCTTGGGAAACTGTGAGCCCTTTGCTGTTAGGTAATTTTTAAAAAGAAATATTTTTATTAATTTTTTTAGAGAGGGGAGAAAGAGAAATATCTATAGGAGAGTGAAACCTTGATAGGCTGCCTCCTGTATGCCCCTTACTGGGGACTGAACCAGCAACATTTGGTGCATGGGATGATACCCAACCAACTGAGCCATACAAGCTAGGGCAGGGTGAGGCAATTTTATTTAATTAAGCTGGGTGGTGGGTCAGATGCGTTTGTTTGAGTGGTGGGCAGGGGCTAAAACCTCAGAAAATGTGTCTCAGATGGAGAGACTGAAGCCTGGAATGGAAAACTGCTACTAGCATTGACGTTAAGATCATGGATAAAGCAGAGAGAAATCTTCACCTGGCGGAGACGTGGAAGCAGTCCTGTGCTCTTGTCCCAGTGCAGAACAGAGTCCACAAAATAGGTGATTTGTGCACAAAGTGTCTGAGAAAGAGGGTGAGACTCACATGAGATGGGATGCTCAGAAGCCACTGTGCTGGCACTCTCTGCCCTGGGCTGGGAGAGGCATAGCCCATCCATTAAATGACCATTTTAATTAGATTATCTGGGATGTAATTTGGTAAACTCTAGAACTGGATTTGCCATGGAAGTGAAATAATTACAAATACAAGTGTTTTGGGTGGAATGGCAGATGTAAGGAAGGGATGGAAATAGGCACTGACACAAATTCCAGGGGTTTTGAGTTGCCTCAACCTAGGACAGATTTCCCCATACCAACAAGAAGGAACATATCCTCAAAAAAGTTATACAGCAAGTAACTTAGTTTAACTTGTTGAGCAACATAACAGCTGATTTCTTGTGCCATATCCTAAAGCGCTATGAATTTTCTGACAATTCCTGGATTTAAAAAAATTCCCAGAGGGGAGATTGGTAGGTTTTAGGGTGGAGATAATAATAGTAATAATTGAAATTTACCAAAACACAATACATGTCAGACACTGTGCCATCCTGCCCCTATCCAACAAGGTTATTTTGGAGCTGACTCTGCCTGGTGCTGGGACCACTCAACACTTTCTGAATTACATCACTTTTCTCTAAAGTCCTCCCAGGGTAGCCTCATGTCCAAATTTGGATCCTAACCTGTTATCCAGCTCCCCCTGCCTCCTTTCATAAGTCTGCACTCTGCCCCCAATGGAACAGAAAGCCCAGAATCACCCGCCTTTCCCCTGATTAGAGGTTTCCAGCTCCTTGCAGATGTCTGGTGTCTGTCCTGTCCCTGACCATGCAACCCCTCAGATAACAACAGCCCTGTCCATGTGGTTATTTACTTTGGCACTGAAGTTTAGATGTCTGCTTATCTGTTCTGGGTGCTTCCACCACACTTCCAAAGTTTTTTGTTTGTTTGTTTTTTTAATTCAAATCTGCTTGTGAGTAGAGTCTGATTTGGAACAGGATCTACCGGTTATTGAAAGATAACCTTGAAATTAGAGAGGAGACTTCGGAAAGCAGATGAGGTTAGAAAGAGAAGAGAATTTAATCTGGTGGTTTATTTGAGACAGGCCACTGAATCTGTACACTGAGGAGCGAGCTTAACTAAGTGGCCAAGAACCAAAGCCTCCCTCCTACGTGGTAGATGGGGAGGCCCGAGGAAACCACTGTCTAGCAACCATGGGCAGAGGCTGGATTCTAACAGGCCTTGTAGTTCTTCCAGGAGGTTGTGCTAGTATTCCACTGTTTCCATAACAAATTAGTACAAATTTAGCAGTTTACAACAACACACATGTATTAGCTCACATGTCCCTGGGTGAAAAATCCAGGGACATGTGATTTCTCTGTTCTGGCTTTCACAAGGCCCAAGTCAAGCTTTCAGCTGGCGGGTCTCTCCATCATGAGCTCTGGGAAGAATGTCCTAAGATTATTCAAGTTGGTGGTGGAATCCAGTTCTTTCTAGTAATAAGACTAAGGTTCTGTGTCCTTGCTGACATAGTTTCTCCTGGTTTCTCTCCAGTCCTTGGACGCAGGCCCATGTATTTTGATCCAACAATTAAATGTTGAATCCTCCTCACACTTGGCATCTCTCTAACTTCCCCTTTGCTGCATCTGTCTTCTGCCTCCAGCCAGAGAAAGTTCTTTGCTTGTAAAGACTCATGTCATTACATTGAGCCCTCCCAGATAATCCAGTTTATCTTTATTTTAAGATAAATAAAGTTTCATACCTTTACTACATTCGCAAAGTGCCTTTGGCCATGTAACATAACATATTCACAAGTTTCAGGGATAAGGAATGGGCATCTCTGTGGAGCAATTATTCAGTCTACCACTGAGGTAGAAAGTGTCTCCCTGGCAGACATGCCAGCTTTGGTAAGAAAAATAAATAAATTACCATAATTCTCCTGACTCTTGTCTGTACCTGGCGTAGGAGAAAACCCAGGCTTTTCGGTGTGTCTAAAGACACCTGTACAAGTTTTCAGGCATGTTCTTCAGGTGGTGGGGAGCAGAGACTCACAATTTGTGTTTTGACCATGCAGCAAGACAAAGAAGAGAATTCTCTGTGTATTGGGACCAGAGTTTATGGAAAAGATCAGAGCAGAAAGCTGCTATAGAGTGAAGTAGAGTGACCTCTCTCTGCTGAGATTTATAGGGTCCTTTAGAAAATCGGTGTGATTCTGTATTTGAAAACACTGCTCACATAGTAGGTAACATACATAGTTATCACATTATTATTGACTATATTTCCTATGCTGCACTTTACACCCAAGTGACTCTTTTGTAAATACTAATCTGTACTTCCTAATCCCTTCACCCTTTTCACCCAGCCCCCCAACCCACTTCCTTTCTCGCTACCATCAGTCTGATCTCTGTTTCTATGAAACTGTTTCTATTTTGTTTGTTCATTTATTTTGTTCTTTAGATTCCACATATAAATGAAATCATATGGTATTTGTCTTTCTCTGTCTGGTTCATTTCATTTAGCATAATACCTTCTAGGTCCATCTATGCTATCGCAAATGGTAAGATTTCCTTTTTTTTTTTTTTTAAAAAAAAAAATCTTTATTGATTTCAGAGAGAGGAAGGGAGAGGGAGAGAGAGAGAGTGAGGTGAGAAACATCAATGATGAGAGAGTCATTGATCGGCTGCCTCCTGCATGCCCCCTACTGGGGATCGAGCCTGCAACCGGGGCATGTGCCCTGACCAGGAATCTATCCTAGGTTGATGCTCAACCACTGAGCCATGCCTGCTGGGCTCCTTCTTTTCTAATGACTAATATTCCATTGTATTTATGTACCTCTGTGTTAAGTTTTTAATATAACATTTGTAGTTATTTTGGGAAACAAATCAGCACGTGTTAACTAATGACTTAAGCAAACATTTCATTGCATTTTTTTCCCATTGAGTGTAGCAAGATGCTTTGGTGGGGTTCATTCTAGATGTAGAGCTACATATGATAATAAAGAGAATATAATCCACTTTAACAATTACCAAATGCCTTTTGTTCGTAAGTGATTTTTTAAAATAAAACATGCTACAATTCTATTCAAAATACTTTTTAATTCTTGATATAATAATTATAAATGCTTTAGATTTAAAATTAGTTGTTTCTCTATTTCCAGAACAAAATGTGAGGGAAGGAAATGCCCATAAGTTAAGTCAAAGGGAGGTTTTGACTCTACGGCAAATTGAGGAATATAATTTTGAAAATTGTGATGCTTTTAAATGAAAACAAGAGTGCTGGATATGGTAATTAACTTGACCACAATAATCATTTCACAATATATATGTATATCAAAACATCACATTGTACACCTTAAATATATATAATTTTTATTTAAAAAACAAACAAAAAATACTGGTGATTTCTGGAGAGAACAGGGATTGTGAAAAATGTGATGAGTTTAAGTAAAATCAAGAATTCAAGTTTTTAAACAAAGGATAAAAATCACATGATCATATCAATAGATGCAAAAAAAGCATTTGATAAAATCCAGCACTTATTTATGATAAAACTCTCAGCAAAGTGGGAACAGAGGGAACATATGTCAACATAAAAAAGGCTGTATTTGCCAAACCCACAGCCAACATCATACTCAATGGACAAAAACTAAAAGTATTTGCCTTAAGATGGGAAACCAGACAGGAATGCCTGCTTTCACCATGCTTATTCACCATAGTACTGAAAGTCCTATCCACAGCAATCAGACAAAAAGA